CCCAAGAACACTGCAACACAAACAGAAGAGACGGGCTGAGCGGCGATGACGCCACGCTCGGCTCTGCCCAGCCAGGCTCTTCCACCCGGCTTCCCACAGGATTTTGGAGAGACGGACACTCCAAACACCAAAAAGCCCAGGGCTACCATTCAGGTAATGCCCACTGAGGGACAGCACACTCAGCGGGGCACAGGGCTCTTGGGGTCTGCCCAGAGACGTACAGCACCAGGAGCATCCTCCCAGCGGTGCTGAGGTGCTCAAGGCATCAGAAACAGGAGCTGCAGAACACACAGGGCAGCTGAAGAGACAGAAGGCTCCAAAAAGACTTGTTTTCAACCTCTTGCCCCTCGTGGGATCTCACTCTGCTGCTCCTCTGCTGCAGGGCGAGAGAGATGCCACCAGGGAAGCAAGAGCCCACCAGGCTGGGACGCAGAGCCAGGCCCCTCTGCCGAGACACAGGGCCAGCACCGAGACGTCCTCGTGAGACACATCACCCCACATTCCCCGACGTGCGTCGCCCTGAGCCTCCTCTCATGCTTCACACCCCCAGGAGGAGGCCAGACAGCCTGATGGAAACTGGTGTCCCTGCTGTGGAGTCATGGAAGCTCAGGTGGCTTCAGGCCTCTGCTCAGGTCCCAGTGAAACCGCCGTGACTTCTCCCAGGCTCAGTCCCAACAAAGATGAACACCCCCAACACACGGGGACAGCACAGAGGGTCATAAGTCTGACACCGAAAGGGGCCTGAGCAACCTCTCCTCACGCGGCATCACACCCTCAACCCTACTGCATCTGGGTGCAGAGGCCTCATCAACTTTGCTCCCAAAGCCTGGGAGAGTCTACGTTGCCCACATCAGATCTTCCCCACGCCGTGAGGGAGCCAGGCTGAACGGGAACAGCACCCTCCTGCCGGCAAGAAACAAAAAAAGCCTCTCCCCCCACCCTCTGCAGGAGGGAGACCTCCACGGGGTGCCCAGAGCAAGGACCCACCGGCACAGGAGAGGCAAGGTGCCCAGAAAGCAGAAACTCCACACAAACCCCGATCCTCCCAGGATCCAAACACCTCACGCACACGTTTGGTAAGAGAGTCTTTCTGTAGCACACTCAGCAATGAGCTGGCATCTCCTCCCACCAAGCCACACAACCGCTTCCCGTGACGAAGACGCATCTCCCTTGGGGAAGAAAGATCGGTTCAAGGTGCCTGATCTGCAGAAACTGATTTACCTCCTCGCCCCTCGGGCTAAGTCTTCTGTAGGATCAATCAGATCAATCAACTCACCCCACGGCAACACTGACAGATGCAGCACTAGAGGCCAGGGGGCAGCCGGAGCCTCGTGCTAGCCCAGCTTGGCCACACCACAATAAGGGGCTCGGTGAAGGTGAAATCTAACAGCAAAAAAAGCTATCAGCTTGTTAGCCTTTTACTGAAGATTTCCTTCCGTTTCGCCTTCCAGCTATCCTGCTCCTAAAACAATCCAGCAAGGTATTTGTGAGAGTATTTGTAAAAAAAAATCAAGGCAAGGATGAGATCATTGCGTAAGCAACTACTACTGTGCTGCACCACCCCGTGCTCGGAGGCACGCTGCTCTCTTCGTGCTGTGTAGGTGCATTTCCCCCCCTCACCGTGATTTATTAATGGCTTGCTCCAGTGAGAGAGTCTGCAGAACCAGTGAATGAAGAGCAGCATGAATGATGTGAGTCAGAGACCTTCCCTCTGAATCGACTTTATTACGCAAACTTTTTTTTTTTTGGTGGCGTTTTGGGGTGTTTTTTTTTACAAGGACAACCAGAAAAAAAAAAAAAGCGTTTTCAAGAGGCAGAGAAGGCATCTCACAGGAGGAGGGCAGGGATCAGCTTGCCTTGACTTTCACCACTGAAGAGGGCTATCCCAGCCGGAGAGGGAGCGCGATAGTGGGCTGACCTTCTCTTGAGCCTGTCCCGGAACGAGATGAAATTTTACAAAGATATCCTCCATTCCGCAAACGTCCCATCCTTCGCTGGAGAAGCCTGGTCTCACCTCCTTTGCCTCCTGCCTCAATCAGGCTGCAGGATCAATTCTCTCTTTCCTCAGCACTTGAGGCTGAGCCTCTTTCCATCTTCCTCAGCACGCCCTGGAGCATCAAGCTCGGCTGCTTGACCCGGCCACTGTGGTGGTAAATAAAAACAGACACACGGGCAGGCGGGTATCACGAGCAGTGTCCTGTGAAGGCGTGCTGTGACGGAGCTCTGCGCTTCTCCCCACATCCAATTTCCCTAGAAATGGCAGAAGAGTAGAAACTAAGTCACTGTTCCCTCCCTTCTTACACACGGAAAGTGCCTGGGGATGAGAGAGGGAAAACCTTCATGAAACAAGAGCTTTGCCAACTTATCTCCAGCCTGGATGCCCAACGGGCACGAAGAGCAGCCAGCTTGAGCAGGGACTGTCCCCAAACCTCAGCACAGAGGGGGCTTCGCAAGGCCCAGCAGCCCAGTGATGACCCCTTATGCCTCTCCAAGTCTCCCCACACCAGCTGGAGAACCAGTGCTCAGGAAAGATCAGAGCTTTAGGCAAGGCAAGGGGGAGCAGGAGCGAAGGGATGGCTTCCCTGCGTCCCTGCTGGGTTTTGCTGAGGTGCTGCTGGCCTCTGGTGGTGGGCAGGCTT